TAGAGAGCCAAACGTCTTCAGATAAATAGATAACGTAGCCACCTTAAAATTACTCTGATGGTGTCGCTTTTTTTTACCATTAGGATTTACATTGGCCCAGACATGATTATTGTGATAATTGGTGACTCCATTTCTTTTAAACATTACACTTTCATACGACATGACATAACCCTAATTCAGCAGCTATCACCATCATGCTAATTTCTGGGTTCTCATCATCAGTCTAGAATAGTATTATGATTTTCACGGTTTTTTCGCTACTTGTTTGACGCTAGCACGGAGTTAGTCTTTATCGAGAATGAGACACTGACCACTTATAGGTACCTGATACAGATTCTTGAAGACTATGATTTATTGTTTATGGTTATTCTTGGAGACGACGCAACATTCATGCATGATAATGCACTGCTCGGATATTTACTGATTATCTTGACGTGAATCCCTTAGAACATGTTTGAATAAGATGAAGAGACGTTTACGGATTCATTTGCCGGCCCCCAGAAATTGAGGAGAGCTTTGCGACATATTACTGCAGTAATGGAATAATCTTCCGCCGAATGTAATCTAAAATCTGATCCAAAGCATGCCTCGTCTTTTGCAAGCTGTTATGATTGCCAGCGGATTAATACTTGCTACTGGAGTCCTTAAAGTTTCTTTTGTTTCAACGAAAAGCACATCAAATTAACATTGTTCATTTTCAATACTTAGTATATCAAAGGAATATTATTTATTTTCATTACTTGCGATAATCATTGAAGGAATTTCTCTAAGGAAGAATTTATTTAAGCAATCCTTAGTAATCTATGTTATAACGGAAATAGTTAAAAAAGAATAATAATTTATAAAATAAATTCAAATTACGGGATAACCATAATTTTATGCTCGGTAGTATATAAAGGTTTGTAATTTTTTGGTAATTATTTTTTCCTGTCTATTAATTCAACAGTTTTTGGTTTACCTTTTTTTTGATATTTTTGGAACTTTTTAACTTATACATTTTTATTGTTAACTGTTTTTCTTTTTTCAGTTGAAATTTTGTAGTAAGTTTCTTGAAAATTGGTCAACCATACTTTGTATCAATTTTAACAAAAGTTCAAATAATTTAGGATTTGATAATTTTATCAATTTGGTCAACTTGAGACTTGAATTAAATAAATATGCAAAATACTGTTCTATATACTGAAAAATACTTTTTTTCGAATACATGAACAGAAAGAGTGAGGAATATATGAAATATAGTACTAAGAATCATGTGTCACATGTTATGTCTACATTTTGTATCCCAAATGATTAATATGACTCAATAATTTTCTGTATTTGATACTACAGTGAATAATCAGGCAATGAAAACAAAACCAAACAAACTAATTTTATTGGCCTAACCTAACACATACATTCGAGGTGATTGTATACTAAGTGACATAGAAATCCGAACACCCAGTTTAAACGATTTTATTTCAATAAAATTTGGTGTAATTTATTTATCTTACTGAAAAAAAAAAAACAAGTGATACAAGTTTTTAGCCTTATCAGTTGGAGATTTCGGTTTTTATACTTTTTGTTTTTAAATTCACTAACAATCTTAAAATGAATATTTCAGCCGCAGTAAAGATCCAAATTTGGCGGATTGTGGTTCTGACATTCTTTGCGATTGGTTACGATGCCTAGAATACGGAGACCTGTACGATTTCGTCAACTTAGTGAGTTTGATAGGGGCCGTATAATGGGACTTCGGGAAGCTGGACTTTCTTTTCGGAAAGTTGCAGTTAGAGTGCAAAGAAGTGTAGACATGGCTTCAAGAAGGCCCTACGCAAAGAGCAACTCAAGAACACCGCCGTAATCGCCTTCAGTGGTGCAGAGAACGGTCACTCTGGAATCAGGAATGGAACAGTATTGTCTTTAGTGACGAGTCTCGATTTTGTTTAAGCATGCACGATGGTCGAGTGAGGGTTAGAAGGCGACGTGGTGAAAGGAGGAATCCACAGATTTTTGTTGAAAAACATGTTAATCACACTGTTAGAGTTATGGTTTGGGGTACTATAGCTTATGGTTCAACGTCACCTTTAATCTTCATCAGTTTAATCTTCATCAGAGGTAACATGAACGCGCAGCGTTATATCCAAGAAATTCTAGAACCCCACCTTTTACCCTATCTTGACACCCTGGAAAATTCAACTTTACAATAAGATAATGCCCGACCACATGTTGCAAGAGTCACAATAGACTTCTTTCAACATAATAATGTGACATTGTTAGCATGGCCACCAAGATCTCCCGACTTATCTCCAATTGAGCACGTGTGGGATATGATGGTTAGGAGATTGCTCAATTTGCAACGTCCTCCTCACACTCTACAAGCACTTCGAGAGGAGCTGGTGGTTGTCTGGAATGAGATACCACAAGAGGACATTGACCACCTGATCAGAAGCATGCCTATGCGCGTTTGAGAATGCGTAACACATCGGAGTGCATCCACATATTAATAATTAATTTAATAATTAATAAAGGTAAAAGGGCTTTAAGAGAGGCCATTTCAAAACTGAAAAATAACAAAGCCCCTCTATTGGACAATCTTCCTGCCGAACTCTTTAAAAATGGTGGTGACACCCTTCTTAAACACATGCATAAATTAGTAACCGAAATCTGGCTACGGAAGGAAACGCCCGCAGACTGGAAATTAGGTGTAATGCAACCTCTTCACAAAAAAGGAGTTATGATGGTGTGTGATAATTATAGAGGCATCACTCTATTTAACGTAGCATATAAAGTATTGTACAACGTATTGTACACAAGATTGACTCCCTATGCTGAACAAATAGTTGGGAACTACCAGTGCGGTTTCCGACCCAATAAATCAACAACGGATCAAATCTTCACAGTCAGGCAGATTCTTGAGAAAACGCTTGAGTTCGGAGTCGACACCCACCACATATTCGTGGATTTCAAAGCCGCATACGACTCAGTCAACAGACAAAAACTTCTACAGGCTATGGTGGAATTTCAAATGCCGCTTTATCTTGTTCAACTAACGGAACTTACACTTACAGGCGTAGAGAGTGTAGTCAGAATCCAAAACGACTTTTCAAGACCCTTCCATTGTAAAAATGGACTGAGACAGGGAGATGGACTGTCGTGTCTCTTATTTAACCTTGCACTAGAAAAAGTAATTCGAGAGTTGTTTGGGAAAGTATGTGTGCGAATTCATTTCATATTTTTACAGTTGATATTTTTTTCTGTTGCGGTACTGTAATATGACCTAATTTGGGTGCTGTATTTCAAAGATCTTTTTAAAATATATTATTTCCTGTGAGTTCGTAAAACTTAAACTGGCTCTCATTTATCATGTTAAAGTATGCAGAATTGGGCTCTTTGTATTCTATGTCAGAAAGATTGAAACACATGGTTGATTTATGGCATGCCCGGCCTACGAGCTGTTGACCATCCCACAGTTAGAGGCTGGTTTGTACCCTAGAAACGATCTAAAAGGCACTTCTTCGTGAGACAACGATCGATCTACACGCATCTAGTTCCGGACGGTTCTTGTGCTGAGCCTCGGGCGACGGGGCGACGCTATCGTCGGTACCACCGACCAACTCTTCAGCCTGGTACGAACTCATCAGTAGAACCAAAGGGTAAGCCTTATAATTCTTTGTACAAAACATTGATAATAAGTAAACCAGTTGATTTCATAACTTATTGACAATTTATAGTTGCTATTTTCATCAATTTTATGTACCAACCAATATTGCATTTTTCGTTATAATTATTTATCTGATATAATTTTAACCAGCGACCTCTCAAGTTTAATCCTAAACAAGAGTGCCATATTAATACGAATGGCACCATCTTTAATAAATCTGTACAAGTGGTCGGATATGCAGATGACATAGACATTATTGCTAGGTCCACGGAATCTTTGATCGAAGCATTTCGATCATTGAGGGCGTCTGCACTGAGAATGGGATAAAAATAAACGCACAGAAAACCAAGTATATGTATTGTACTAAATCAGGCAACCAGATACCTAGACTATTAATTGATGATCTGGAACTGGAAGGTGTGGACACCTTCATATACCTGGGCTCGCTGCTGACCAAAGACAATAATGTCAGCGAAGAAATTAAAAGAAGAATAGTGCTTGCCAATAAGTGCTATTATGGCTTGAGGAAACAGATTGCCCCAAAACTACCCAGAAAATGAAAATTACCATATATAAAACACTAATAAGGCCAGTGTTAACACACGGGTCAGGAAGTGGTCACTCACACAGAACGACCAAGAACTGCTTAGACGTTTCGAGAGAAAAATTCTAAGGAAAATATATGGAGGAGTCCAAGAACAGGGTTTGTGTCGTAGGCGCTACAACTTTGAATTATACAGAAGTTTTGGGGAACCTGACGTTATAAAATTTATTAAATTAGCTTGCCTTCGATGGATAGGCCATGTAATTAGGCAGATGAAGATGCAACGATCAGAAAAATTTTCGACCGAAGAGGACCAGTGGAAGACGATCCAGAGGAAGACCAAAACTTAGGTATCAAGATAACATAGAGGATGATCTAAAATCCATCAGAGTTAAAGCATGGAGAAGAGTCGCCAGAGACAGGGGCGAATGGAAGATTGTTCTGAAGAAGGCTTTGGCTCATAACGAGCTGTAATGCCACTGATGATGATGATGAAAAGGGCTTTAAAGCAATGCAATCATTTTACAATTTTAATCATTTACTTGTTTTGCTTCATTAAGTACTGATACAAAGTTTGATTAAAATAAAATCATTTAAACTGGGTGTTCGGATTTCTATGTCACTTAGTATATGTATAGAAGTATAGGTATCATCTTATGAGTTGATACATACACGTACGATACACACATTACATAACGCTAACGTAAATTAGTTTATTTAATAATTATTATAGGTATTTTTGGTTAATAATTATAGCTTATATATGCCATTCATGATGTATTTCTTTACTTGTATAATTGATATTTTTGTTTTCAGTATTTAAGGGGTGGTTTGGGAGATTGCTTTTTTGGATTTGTGTACTTGATGGAAGCAAGCACTCCATTCGTGTCCCTTAGAGGAGTTCTATCAAAAATAGGATTGAAGAATTCCCTAATTTACGTTGTAAATGGACTGGTGATGCTAGCTGTGTTTTTCATATGTAGAATAGCCATGTTTCCCTATGTAATTCATATGTATGCAAAGTCCATTAGAGCAGATTTTATGTCGGTAAGTATAATTCTTAACGAAATTTGTCTTCGTAAATGGGTATATTTATTTAAAAATCCTTAAAAGGGCTACATCAAAAAAACAAACGTTTTCGGACTAAACAGTCCATCATCAGGTTTTAATTTTAAAATTGCTAGGTTATAATGCCTGAGCCACCAAAATACCTGGGTAAAAACCCTTTAAATTACATATAGTTGTAAAAGATTATACACCATGTTGTAAAAGAACTGTGATGTTCAGTATTAAATTAAATATGACTTCAGGTAACATACATGGCTGAAGTGAGTTCCAGAGCGGAGAGTAAACCTCTTCACATGGAGAACAGCTGGTAACTGTGTAACTTCTCCATGTGAAGAGGTTTACTCTCCGGCTCTGGAACTCACTTCAGCCATGTATGTTACCTGAAGTCATATTTAATTTAATACTGAACATCACAGTTCTTTTACAACATGATGTATAATCTTTTACAACTATATGTAATTTAAAGGGTTTTTACCCAGGTATTTTGGTGGCTCAGGCATTATAACCTAGCAATTTTAAAATTTAAACCTGATGATGGTTGTTTAGTCCGAAAACGTTTGTTTTTTTGATGTAGCCCTTTTAAGGGTTTTTAAATAAATATACCCATTTACGAAGACTAACCTCTTTTTTGTGATACGTGGTATACAGCCAGCTACAGGAATTGTTTTCTTTGTGGATTTTTTTAACGAAATTTATTTTATTGGTTACTTTTGAAACTTGTTTTCATTATTGACTAGACATAGTTTACGTTTGTGTTGTATAATTAAAAAATAAATAAATTAGGAAACCTGGTGGTGGTCAAACGAAGTAAAATAAATAAAAGAAAAGAGCAAACTGCAAAAATAGTGGAAAGCAAATAGGTCCGATACAAATGTTTAAAATTATAAAGTCGTCAAAAAGGAAGTGAAAGTGGCTATAGTAAATGCCAAAGCAGAAACGTATAAAAATCTAAAAGATAAACATAATATCATAAAAGAAATATTTTCATCAGTTTGGGTGTACATTGTAAAAATGGTTTAAAACTAATGCGACAAAAACTAAGTATCTTAGAGTGTTCATCCAAAGATAGACTTACTACTATAAATAATGCAATAACTTTAGATAGTGAACTAATTGTGAAAAGTAGTAGTTTTAAATATATAAGACCAGTTAGAGCGGGATGAATCACATGGAAAGAACTGGGTGGTGTGTTGTATGACTTCTTCTTCTTCAGCCTTAAGTAATCCAACTTTGGACATAGGCCTCCCCCAAATCAATCCAGTGTCTTCTATTTTGCGCCACTTGCTTCCAGTTGTGTCCTCCGATCTTCTTAATATAATCCGCCCATTTGTTGTCTTCCTCTGCTTCTCTTTCATAACCATGGTCTCCATTGTTGTATTTCGTGGTTCCATCTCTTATCCTTCAGTCGGGCATTGTGTCCTGCGAAGCTCCATTTTTATTTGGCAGCATGTTCTTCTGCGTCATTTACTTTGGTTTTGCTTCTAATCCATCTGTTTGTTTTTTTGTCTATACAATTTTTCAATTCTTCGAGAATAAGTTCACTCCCCTCCTTCAACATCTCTACCAAGTATTCCATCTTCGGAGCCATATTGTTTTTTTTTAGTTGTGCCATAGCTTATTTTATTTCGAAGGATTCTATGTTAGGGAGTATTTCTGAGTTGACATTCATTATCATTCTCTTAAGATCTTCCTTTGCAGTGTTTTCTGAGTTCTTGTTTGAGGAATATAAATCACGGTAAAATGTTTGAGTAACTTTTAGGATTTCGTTATTTTCTCTTACTTATTTTCAGGCCTCGGTTCTTTTCTATTATTTTTTCTACCCTGTCTTCATTATAGATCCTCAAATCATCCTTTACGCCCTTCTTTATTTCTTTATTCAATTCTTTAAAACCGTTTGTGTTTAGCTTTCCTTTGCTTAGAAATATGCGTCTCTTTTCCATCAACCGTTTTGTTCCTTCATTTATTCGCTCTTCTTTATTTTTCGTTTTCTTTGCAACAGTCAGTCATGCTTTCAAGAGCTTTCGTTGCATTTCTTTATTAATTGTCTTCATGTCGGAATATTCTTGTTGATAATGTTCTACAAATTCTTTTCTTAAGACTTCTCTGTACTTATCTCCCTTCTGTCGTATTCTAGTTTGATCTATCTGATTACAATAATCATGTGGCATGTTTCTACTGGTTTTCGTCTGTTTAATAAGAATCCTTGCTCTTAAAAGGCGATGTGTTGTTGCAGTTGTGAATCGATTGAGAGCAGTTATATCTTCAAAAATGTCTTTGTTCCCACATAAGAAGTAATCGATCTCGTTTCTCGTCTTTTGATCGGGAGATATCCACGTCCATTTTCGGTTTGCTGGTTTTTTGAAGTATGTGTTCATGGCATATAAGTTTTGTTGTTCTAAGAAGTTATATAATTTTTCTCCTCTTTCATTTCGTGTGCCATAACATTGCATCCCTATTTTGGTTTCAGTATTTTCTTATTTTTTACCTAATTTTGCGTTGAAATCTCCCATAATGATGGTATACTTTGTATCATTTTTTGTACGTTGTACACTTTGTACGTTGATTGGTCTCTAATTTTCTAACATAGTTTTGTTTCCTTTTTTTAAATATTGGGGAAACGATACCAATTTTCAAATCAGTGGGAAAAATACCCATCTCTACAGATTTATTTATTAAATCAGTTAACGGTTGAATAATGTACACGCTCATATGTTTAACTAGCTTTGTGGAAATGCAATCAATACCCACTGAATTTACATTTTTTAAGGATGAAACAGCTTCGGCTACATCGCTATAGTCAATAGGATAGAAGAAGAATGTTTGGTCAACATTTAAAGTCGTATAGTTTTTAAATTGTGAATTCCCATATTTGACATTTAATGCATTTTTTGAAAATGATGAAAAGAATACGCCGAAAGCATTTGCCATCTCTTTTTTATCGTTTATGAAACTTCTTAAGGCTTATCCTCGATAATTGTAACGGTAAAATTCAGAGAGATGTCTATTTCAAAAATATCTTTCTTTACAAAAACAAAATCCATTCACGAAGAATATTCTAAACGTCATCTTGTACTAGAGGTAAGCTTTATACCTACCTTATACAACCCCCTATTGTGTAAAGTCTTGGGTCTATACAATAAACGACTGGGCGGCCTTCTATTCAGTGTGGTTTTGAAATAATGTTGAATAAAAACATTCATGAAATTAAAATGAAAGAATTTACGTCTATTAGTAGAAGTGCGATTTATAAAATTAGTACTTGAAGCATAAATCGCGGGAGGAATATGTGCATCAGTTTTCAAATATTTATTATTTACTATATAATTTCTAAATTGAACCACTTTCACTTCTTTAGTTAACAATGTATCTGTTTTGACAACTAAATAGGTAATTAGACAAAATAATTATTAATTTCAAAACAGGAGTTTAAAGAATTAGAAAGAGGTAGCCCGGGCCCAGTTAAATGGTCAAGCTTATTCCAGTGGAAGCAATAAGGAGGATTATTTTTCGTTTTGGCACAGCTGACATGCTCTCTCTAGTAATACAACTCATGAAACTGTGGTAAAAAGCATGCTTTATTTATACGGTTGTGAAACACGACGATTAACAGAGACAGATTAATATCGAAGAAAGATATCTCGTCGAACTTAATGCAATAAAGTATGAGAATAGAAGGTACAGTCATGGATGGCATACAACGAAAGCAGCTCAAATGGGTACAGGTCCAATAAATGAAAGACAAGAGACTCCTAAAACAAGTACCTGTATGAACACCTACCGTAATCCAGAAGAGAGGATTACCTTAGAAAACACGGATGGAAGGAATAAGAAACTTAATGAGCTCGAAAGAACTTAAAGAACAATGGAACAACCGAATTGAATGAAAAATGAACGTCGGAAGACATTTTATAAGGATTATATCATATTATAGGTACATTTTTTTGACTAAAAATAAATTTGAAGAAAACCAAGTTCATGGTATTTACAAAAGCACAAAGCATCAAAGTTAAGCTAGTACTAGATAATACAGAAATTGAACAAATATCTTTGTACAAATACCTTGGAGCATGGATCACAGAAGATACTGATTAGACAAAAGAAATAAGATGCCGCATTGGAATTGCACGGTCAACTTTTAATAGAACGAGAAAACTTTTTTGTAATCGAGATATCAATATATCGCTCCGGATAAGAATGCTTTGATGTTATATTTTCTTTACCCTTTTATATGGGATTCAAGCTTGGTCACGGATCGCAAAACAACCGAACAAGTTCTCGAACAACTAGGAAAACAATGCGAAGTTTTAAATTCCATAAAAATCAGGAAATTAGAATACTTGGGGCACATCATACATCACACATCAAGACGTAAAATCTAGTGGTTACGTAATCTCCGTGAATGGTTTGGATGCAATTCAACTGAACTATTCAGGCGCATATCCAACAAAATGATAATTGCCAGAATGATTTCCAATCTCCGATAGGAGTGGAACTTGAAGAAGAAGAATAAGTACATTATTATTATATCATATTATATATATACATATATATATATATATATATATATATATATATATATATATATATTTATATAATATATGATATAAACGATATTGAAAGAGGTTACAACATAGACAATCAACAAAATCTACATCGACAACTACACAGTGAACACCCAACAATAATAGAAGTGTCAAATGCCGTCCTAAAACTCAAAGACAATAAAGCCACAGGAATCGATTAAATCTGTTGGAAAATATATAAAAAAAGGTGATGATCAGCTTTTTGCAGTAACCCATAAACTAATAGTACTTATATGGCAAAATGAATTTGTTCCAGAAGAGTGGCTAAATGAAATAATATACGTTGCATAAAAAGGACGATTAACTGGATTGTAAGAACTATAGAGGCATTACTCTGTTAGCATCTTCACCTGTTAGCACCCTGCTTGGCAGGGTCACATATCAGATCAATTTACG